AGAGAGAGAGAGAGAGAGAGAGGAGAGAGAGAGAGAGAGAGGAGAGAGAGAGAGAGAGGAGAGAGAGAGAGAGAGAGAGAGAGAGAGAGAGAGAGAGAGAGAGAGAGAGAGAGAGAGAGAGAGAGAGAGAGAGAGAGAGAGAGAGAGAGAGAGAGAGCGGCTAAAGATCGGGAAGCTGCACAGTCCGAGGCCGACTGGAGGATGTTGCAGAGACACTTGAGCGAGATCGATGCGGAACGGCGCGGTGTGTCAGCCGATTCCCCAGCTCGCGAAAGTCGCTTCGCGCGATCGAGGGAGATCGATCGGAAATATAACCCAACGAGTTTAACCGACCCCGACGTGTGCCCGAGAAAGTGTGTCCTCTCCCCTGGAGGAAGAGACAGGATTAACAGTTATTCTTTCACCGTAGCGTATATCTCGCTGATTCGTCCTGTGCGGAAGACGGTATCTCGAAGGCGGCTGCGGAATAGAAGAGACGGGAGTTTTCGCCGGTCGACGAATCTCTAATAAAACGGTAACGGCCGGAACACGTTAAACGCTAAGATACGCGAGGTATTTCAGTTACGGGAAAGTCCGGCGAAAGCGGCGACGGCGACGGCGACGGCGACGATGGCGACGGCGACGACGAAGGTGGCGGCGACGGCAGTCGGTGACCTGATCTAACTGGCCAAGTACACCGCACTCTCCGTCGCATATTTACCCCCCTGTAACGCCGCGTCTATTTTCGTCGACTTGCGAGTTATTAACGGATCCGCGCCTCGAGCCCGCGACGATACTTCGTCGCACTTGTTGTCCACGTGTAATAATAGTCTGTGCGCGACGATACCGCGTTTCGCTGCCGGAACGGACTCCTCGAGACAAAGCACGACGAAGAAATGAAGGAGAGAGAGAAAGAGAGAGAGAGAGAGAGAGAGAGAGAGAGAGAGAGAGAGAGAGAGAGAGCGAGCTGTCCTCTCACTCACGGCAAAGTCGCCGTCGTTCCGCGATCGGCGAGGTACGAGAGCTTCAAGACGAAGCGCGCCGCATAAAGCGCGAATTACACGTCGAGCGCAAACGGCAAACAAAATGATTGCGAGCGCGTGAGACAGTCGCCGGTACTCGGCGATACGTGGTGGCTTCGCGAAAAGTTCCGCGTATCGCGTATCGTCGTCAGTGACCGCGGCGTCACGGGACTCCTCCTCGCTAATTTCGGGCCAGTCGCGCACAAGCGGCTAATTACGTAACACGCCGCTAAGAATGCGCCATCGGGCGCTCGCAGCGTGCAGCGCTCGGCAAAGCTGCTCGCAATTACGAAGCGAAGCGTCCTGTTCGGCTTGTACTCGCGCGGAGAGGCGAGTCTCTCTTCTCAGGGGCGAGTTAAAAATAAGTTTCGAGTCGCGCCGGGGGATGTGACGATAATCCCTTTAGCGTCGGCCGCGCGCTAAAGCTTCGCTGGAGAGAGACGAGAGAAAGAGCCGGCCGGGATTCTCGCGCGTTGATCGAGTTTGTATTAATAATGACGGAACGCAACTTCAGTTAACGGCTTCGCGAAGCCCTCGCGACACGTCGTGCCGCGCCGCGATGCCTCGCGTCACGTTGTTTCACGTCTCTCCTCTCTCTCCTTCTCCCTTTCCTTCTTCTCCCCTCACTCTCTCTCCCTCTCTTTCTCTCTCTCTCTCTCTCTCTCTCTCTCTCTCTCTCTCTCTCTCTCTCTCTCTCTCTCTCTCTCTCTCTCTCTCTCTCTCTCGGTGTGTGAGACGTAACTTAGATAGTTAAATCGTATAACTTAGTTAGGCAGTTATAATGCATAAATTGTTGCGGCGGCGGCGGCGGCGGCGGCGAGAGGATGAACGCGGTTTATAAATGTTCGGATTTAGCAGCAGCGAGTTATTACTCCGCCGCACTCGGTCCTAGGCGCATGCCGGTGTGTACGTGTCTGTGCACGTGTGCATGTTTGGCTATCACAAAACGATGATTTACGCGCGATGACCTTCGGAGGAACAACCGTATCGTCGTCTCGGTGCGAATGCAACGAACGCGCCGCGGGATTTCGGTAAAGCGGCGTAAATCATTCCGCCAGGAGCTCTATCGGGTTTCGCTCACTCGCGACTATCAATCATTCCCAGCGTAGGAGTTAAAAGTTGGGTTTATGGTTCGCTTTGATAGCTGCTGGTTGCCGGGTTATTAATGGATGCAGCCACTTCATTTGAAGAGCTAATAACTGTGAAACCTTCTTATTAGGAGAGAGCCATAAGAGCGCGCGCCACTAAATGCGCGCGCGAGGTCAAACTGCCGTTCGATGATAAACGCCATCCTCTTCTCCCTTAGCCTGATTAATAATAAAATGATAAACGGCAAATTCAATTGAGTCTAGACATCATTCGCGTCGATAAATATACTCGCCCGCGAGGAGCTTATCGAAGCTGCGGACTTCAAGGTTTATTTATTTTGCCTAATAAACAAGTGAATAATTAAGCGCAGATCGATCAACCTCACTCCTCCTCAATGGCTTATGCATTCCTCAGGACACTTCTTCTTTTCAGAACTCCGGAGATTCATCTCCGGAGTCCCCGTGAGAAATATTTATGATCTCGATACCCTGTGCTAACGACTCTATGAATAAATCGCGTCGCTTATCGACATACCGATCATGCCGATGATCAAAATTGTAAGGTGGTGCGACAAATTTTGTCAGCGCGCGTACGGACGTATCTTTCGATTAAATGCGAAATCATTTATCTTTTACCAGCAAGATTGATGATCAGTGTTAACATAAGTGACGGATTTTAATATTTGAACCGCTAGCAATCAGAGTCGAGAATGAAGAAAGAGGATCTGGAATTAATTGCGAAATTGTCTTTTCTCCCGATATGTATGTGTGTACACTAGATAGAGATGTGTCAACTATTCGAGTTCGAATAATTCGAATAGGAATCAAATACATTATCGTTTGCGTGCAGCAGCTGGGAAATGAGCCATCTGGGTCTGCATGTTTGAACCCTTAACTTGTAACTTAACTTAACTTATGTAATTAATGACTTAATTATAGATTACTTTAATTATTTAAATATATATTTTACTTTAGGATGATGTTACAATATCAATATTCCCTTTCATATTAAAACCTTCCATGCATTATTTGCATGTTTAATAGTCATGTTAAACTTTTCGATTGAATGATTCGATTCCATTTCATTCGATTCGATTCGACATAAAAATTCTTGATTCGCACATCTCTAGTATACACACACTAGAGATGTGCCAACTATTCGAACTCGAATCGAATCGAATCGAATCTAATGTAATTCGATTCGATTCGAATACGAATCCCTATGATTCGAATCCGAATAATTCGAAAATCTCGAATCGCGAAGATTCGAATACGAATCAAATATATTAGCGTTTGTGGGTATCAGTTATAAAACGGGCCATCTGGGCCTGTATATATTAGAAGCCTTAACTTATTTTTAATTAATTATTAATTAATAATGTTTAATTACCCTAATTAACCTAACTAATAATTAACAACTTAATTATAAATTACTATAAATATTTAAATATATATTTCATTTTAAGATAATATTACAATATTAATATTCCCTTTCAAATTAAAATCTCCCATCATTATTTGCACGTTTGATATTCATGTTAAATTTTTTAATGGTTCGATTCGATTTGATTCGAATTCGAATGAAATTTCATAGATTCGATTCGAATTCGAATTTAAAAAATGAGATTCGATTCGATTCGATTCGACATAAAAATTCTTGATTCGTACATCTCTAGTATACACACACATATACACACGTGGTAATGTGTCAGCGTCGCGTGTATATATATATATATATATAGTGGTGCACCACCATCAAGCAAGTACACGCGCGTCACCACACAACCCTATGCACACACATACGAGTGTGCGCCATTTATTATGATCATAACAAGAGACGCAGACTCTGCGCATATGGAACCTGCTCCACGTCTACGCAATTCACGACGTATTTGCAGATTCTCGCGTATCGCATCTAACCTGTACAACCTGTATATCCCGTGTAACACAAAAGAAACGCAACGTTCCTTCCGCCGCGGAACGTCCGCGCGTGCTCGACTCTCATTTGAATGCGGACCTATGTGTCTCACGTGACCGACTGCTAACTCTTCCATCTCATCGACCCCGGAAGAATCAGGATCGATCGATCGATCGATCGATCTCGACGTCGACGTCGACGTCGCGCGGAGGGGGGTAGTTAGTACGATGTACGTCGGTCGCGTGATCTACGGATTGATAATCTGTTCGTACGTGTCCGAGACGAGGTTCATGTACGACTCGGGTCAGCGCTCTCCTTTTCTCGGGCAAACATTGATCTTTCTGCGCGAACGACCATGCACAGACACGCTGCGTTCGTGCTCTCACATATCCCTCTTACGGGCCAACAAACGATCCCGATATCAAAGCAAATGGGGCGAGTAAACAGTCGGAGAACACCGCCGATCCAGGTGGTACACGAGAACGATACCGGAGAGAGATCGATCGTGTGTGCGAGATTCCAGCTCGCACTGAATAAAAATACCATAAAGGACTTGCCGATGAAGATCAGCCCTGCGTGAACGGAACGGCCGAATCACGACGTTAACCACGACGACGACGACGACGACGACGACGACGTCAACGACGACAACGACGACTGCGACTGCGACGACTGCGGAGCACTGGTTGATTGACTTTAGACTCGACAACGTGGCGATCGGACGGCTCACCACGGATTATGGTGTCGGTGGATAGGTCGATTGGGTCAGGTCGGTCGGTCGGTCGGTCGGTCGGTCGGTCGGTCGGTCGATCGGTGGTAAAAGAGAAGAGAGAGAAAGCGAGAGAGAGAGAGAGAGAGAGAGAGAGAGAGAGAGAGAGAGAGAGAGAGAGAGAGACACAGAGAGAAAGAAAGAAAGAGAGAGAGAGAGAGAGAGAGAGAGAGAGAGAGAAAAAGAGAGAAAAGAGAAAGAGAGAGCAGGTATAGGTTCTGGACCTGGATGATGGTACGTGGTGCAGCAGGGCCGGGGGCTGACGCGACACTGCTCGCGGGCGCGTATACGCGCGCACGTCGCGCGCACCCGCCGACGCGCATATCCGGCCCTCGTCATGTGCGCTGTGCTACCGATATAGCCAATCCCGGAAGCGGGACTAAGGGACGAGAGAAGAGAGCGCGAGCTCTCCTCAAGATCGCGCCGCCTGGCTACGGGGAGGTAGCCGGCTGCTCCGAGTGACCGTGGAATTTCGAATTGGATTGACGCGCGAAGCGCGTCGCCGGCGGGGAGGCGCACGGCGGATCCAGGACTCAGGATCGTCGTCGTGAGGACGCGCGGGAACGAGTCGCGCATCCAGCTTGGACGGAGCGGCGACTCGAGAATCTTCTCGTTCTCGAGCGCGTTTCTTTTCTCATTCCTTCTCGGCGAATTGAGACGTCGAGATGATGAAACCTCGGTGATTCCTTACGCGAGAAAGGAATCATCGAGTTACACCGCTCGCGGTATTTACCGAAGGACAATGTAAATGTTAAGTTGTCAACAGGGCTGCTTGCGGGCCATGAACTTGACTAAGAAGATTACGCTGAAAAACAGCCCCCGAGCAAGTTTTCGCGGACGTAGTCGCAAAAACGTATCATTCATAGCCGAGTGACTTTTCTCCTATTGATAGCGAGGAAGCAGCGCGGCCGTTAACTGGGGCGGAAGAGAAAAAGAACACGTCGCGCTCGCGAACTTCCATCAGGAGCGCCCGATTAGAATCAACAAGGAAGCTTGCAACAGGTGAGAACGCTCGCCTTGCATCCGCGATGGTCCCTCCGATACGAGGCAAGTTCCTCGCGAGGGCGAACATTTAGCTAGGATAACGTCCGGGATCAGCTGTTGCGACAACGTAACTCGGCCAACTGTCTCGACTGAGTCTGTCGATGTGAGTCTGTATGAATCTATTTCATAAACGTGAAATCCACTTCATAAGCGGAAGTTCCGCTTCTCACCGCGTCATTGCTGCGTCGCCGCTTCGGCAGGTACGCGCGCGCGTCATTTTTCGCGCAGACGCGTCGCGAGAAGAAAAATTCACGGTTAAAGCGACGACACATCCGGAGAACGTCCGTTTGCGCGATGACGGAGAAAAAGAGGATGCGCCGGATCCGGAGGATACGACAGTACGCATAGGCGATGACGCGTCGGACGAATACATTCGCAAGTCGCATGTTCCGCGAGAGACGACACGACCCGGCGAGCTTCCCGACAATTATGAAGAAAGGCTCGCGGAGAGGTAGAAGCCCGAGAAGAGAAAGACGAGAGCGGGTCTTTTTTTTCTATCGTGTTATACGAATTGAAAGGGGAGAAAAAGAGAGAATCTCTTTTTCGAGTCGCGGCGACTCGAGAGGGAATATAAAGTTCAAATACAGGAGGAGAGTCTGACTTTTACGACGGAGCTCCAATTTCGGCTTTTAAAACAGTATCGAAACGTGAATTAAAAGTCCAAGTCTGATGAATATGCTAATTTGACTTTTACGTGAAAATCTGAGGCAGCTCTCGAAATTCAGCAGTCGATTTGAAGCTTCAAATTAAACTTCCGAGGTGCGTCTGCGTGTCAGTCCGGAATGGAATTTCAGTACTCAAATCGAAATCTAGGATTAAAGTGAAAAAAACATACCAACTATGAAACACGCGCGCGTGTGTCCGGTGTCTCCGAGTTTGAGTTACAATTTCATCCGTTTCGTGTACCCACCATTTCATCACCATTGTTACGGTACGATATAACAGAAATATAAGCCCTGCTTGTGCGCGTATCGAAAGAGTGCGGATTGTTTTGCGGGTTAGTTGTCGAATCTTCCTGCCTGGTCTATCTAACGCTGCAACTCGAGATCAATCACGTTGGAACACGCGAGTCTGCGGATCTTTCTCCACTTGCGGCGTCTCCCTCAATCAGTTTCGAAAAATACAATCTTCCTATCCGCGAAGTAAGATCCGCGATCACGAGCGCACGGATATTTGCCGTTCAACAGATGCAAATTCGAAACGGTTCGTTCTCCGGTCTCGCGGCCACTAATAAAAGGCGCTACTTTAAACCATGCTTATCGATAAGCCATCTCGAGGTGAATTAAAGTAAAGCGGACGAAGCAATTGTTTTTCCGCGGAGCGCTCTCTCTCTCTCTCTCTCTCTCTCTCTCTCTCTCTCTCTCTCTCTCTCTCTCTCTCTCTGTCCCTCTTCCGCCGCGCAAAGCCGGCCCGCGAAAATAAACGATTAATTCGAGAATTAAGTTCTCAAAGGAAGCACGACCGTTATTTACTCTTTTCACTTTGGATCGTCTCTTTCTCTCTCGCTCCTCATAATCGGATTCCGTCGGTATTCTTAAGCGTCTTCTCGTTACATCCGGAGAATTGCCACTCGCGTTATTCCTTTGTCCTTAAAGAAAATTAGCAATCGTTCCTGCGACGAGGACTCGACGATCGATCGCGATCGTTCCTGTTACGCGCGCGCGCGCGCGTACGCGCCATTTGTTACATAATAATTCATAAAAGTGCTCTCCGCGCTCGCCAATCGCGTCTCATTAAATCTCCGCGTTTGATCGGATAATTTAGATACCCGCGCGCCGGCGGGTTACTTTAACATGCAAATGGCGCGTTAACGGGCTCGCGAAAAATGAAGGCTCAGCGGTGGACTGTGGAGAAAGAGCGAGGCAGGATTATTGATATTTAATGCAAACGTCACGTTTATTATTTTGTTATTAAACCCTGCGGAGCGTGGCAGCGCAGGGGGGTGGAGGGGGGTGAGGCGGGCACGAAATAAAAGCTCATCGCACTTTAATTCTCGGCTCTGTGAACGCGAGCGCAAAAAAGAGTGTAAACACAGCGACGATCGTTATTACGAGCGGCTTAATGTAAATCTTTCTCCGCGCGCTTCGCCGCGTAATTAGCGCGCGCTCGCGTGTGTCTACGTTATTACAACGTCCAATCTCGTCGTTACCGACCGACGGCACGCGACAGCGAGGCGTCGGCCTCGCGTTATTTCAAGCGTTTATTAGCGGACAGATATTCATTCCGCGCGCGCGCGTTTTATATCGCGCGTTGATTTGTTCTCAGGGCGATTGGGAGACGCTTCGCGACGCGACCCGCCGGTTGATGCCGTGTTCGCGCAAATGTCACCGATCCGACGAAGCCACGCACTCTGACGCACACTCGCAGCTGGGGATGGCCGTCGAAAGTGCGTCAGAGCACTTTCGAGCACGCGTGGCCGAGCGGCGGGTTGCGACACGCTCGACACGTGTGTGCACACACGGTTGCGCGCGCACCTGTAGTTGCAGCGTGACGGAGCTCGACTCGATTAAAGAGCCCCTCGCAATATCGGGGAAAGCACAGGAAAGCTGGAGAGCGACTTGGCAGGACCTGGAGGATACGGAGAGTGTAATGTAAACTAATTAGCAACGAGTCTACATCAATTAAGCTCGCTAGAGTGCCTCTCTCGCGCTGACATTCCGCCCGCGTCGGCAGCATCCTGCCGTGACAACGACGACGTGTGCCGGGTTTATGGAGATCAAAAACTATCGATAACAGCAAGGCCGTCTCTCTCGCGCGAGCCACCGCTTGCTGCTATTTAGTCGCCGCGCTAGCCCCGGAGCTTCGGCGATTTCTCGTAAGATTATCGAACGAAAGAGCCGTTGTACGGGGGGGGGGAGAGGGGGGGGGATAAAATAACGAATGATCCGAGAGAGGAATCCTGAACTCGTGAGAAATTTTCTCTCGTCGTCTAATCTTCAGCTAATCGATACTAAATCGATTCCGACGACTTGCCGTTTAGCTCAACGACTCGCGCCTTCCGCGAGAGAGAGAGAGAGAGAGAGAGAGAGAGAGAGAGCTCCTTGTATTTTGACGCTCTCCGTGACATTTTCGCGAAATCAGCGACAGCGCGAACGTCTTTCGGTCTTTTTGTCCGAAGATAGCCTCGAACAAAATCACCTACTTTTGATTCAATACAGAAGAACTTGCGAAGCGCATACTCATCTCCGAGATGAAAAGAAGTTATTTCAGTTAGATAGAACGTATTTCAGCCCGTTCTGCTCGCAGTAGCCTCCTTCGGACAACCTCGACCGCTCGAGTGCGCGCGCGCTTTCCTCAGGACAATTACAAGCACTAGCGGGTTTCTGCGTACATCGGGGTGAGCGTTATCGGGGTGTTAAAGCGGCCGATAGGGAAGCAATCGGCCGCTTGCAGACATCGGGTCACCGTTCACGTGAGCTTAATGCCGCGGGCGTAACGTGCGCGCGCTAATAGGAAAATACTAAAACGGGAAATTACGTTCGTCCTATGACGTCCGCGTCGCATCCGGCCGATCGACGCGGAGCCGGCTCTCGCAATTATCTCATCTACGATGGACGGCCTCGAAATCCGCGCTTTCGAATTCGCGGCACGTCGCGGAACAGCCGGTGATCCGATACTTCGATAATTCAGACGCACGTTCCACTGACACGTGGACCGCGCGCGTCTCGCTTCACCAGGGCATACATCATTCTTACGCGCGCCGGCGATACGTTTGCAATGTTTGTCATTTTGTCGAGCAGCATCGTCGAATGAACCCCGGCGAGGATACCGAGAATCGCCGAGAATAACAGTCTTACGTGACTGTCGCCGAGAATAACAGTCTTACGTGACTGTCGCGAAATTGAAGGGATGCACACGCGTGCCGTATTGTTTCTTAAAAAAGCATGCAAGACAAACAATTTTTCAGAGCGCGCCGTACGTGATGCTCCAGATTCCTCTCGTGGGGGGGAGGGGGGGGGCGCTTCCGATCGGATACGCTTAACCTAACGAGCATGCGATCATACAAGTGCCCACGTGTGTATCACGTATTACAATGCATATGAATTCCCGATGAATGCGACAAGTGTCAAGTCCCCGACGTGAAAGAAGACGCGCGAACGTGGCGCGAATTCGCCGTCGTTAGCCGGCCAAGGCGAAAGGCCAGATTGACGGGAACAATCGCAGTTAGAAGGATCAGCAGATCTCGCCGGCGCGGCGCGGTACTCTTTCGTTCCGGGCCCTTCATCGACGGTGCAAATGCAAATTCTACGGATCCGCGGCGGAACGAGTGAAGTTTGATTCGCCGGCGAGTGCA